ATACATATAATGATAAATTAACTGTGGATTATTTCATTTACGTTGCGTTACGTGGCTTCCGTGTGGGTAGCTCGCTGTTTATTCCAAAATTAACAAAGTAGCTCAACACATTGAAGAGGTTGGCGACCACTGGTCTAGAAGATATTTGTGAGATTCTATCTAATATTACAGATGGTGATATAAATAGCATGAAGAATTCTTGTGAAGTTCCAAAAAATCCCTATAAACCTTTGAGAGTACAGACAAACGATTACAGAACTCCAGCCACTCCCGAAGGCAATAGCTTTGGCTATGTCTGTGGATATCTTTTGAGAAAATGTTCAAAAAAACATTCATGTAAAGTATGTATAAATTTTGCCACGGCGGCTAGTACCACACTGAATGAAACAAATGTATATGGTTATTTCAAGGCATACAGTAATACAGAAGCCAAACAGTTTATATATGCCTACAGATTCATTTTTACAAAGTATCATTCATCTAGAGACAAAATTTTTTAATCACTTTAACAATTTATGTGCCACTGATTGCATCGGCAACCAGCTCAAAACAATGTTTTCAAAAATTAACATTTCTCACCCTTGTAATAATTTTCCTTTGGATTATTTATTTTCTCTTTTCACAAGGGTAAGAATTTATTATACTTTGAAATTTGCCAATAGAAATTTGAAAACAAATTATAAAAACAATGAAAAAAATCAAAAACTCTGTATTCTGAAAAACCTTAGAATAAATTAGCATAAGTTTTTGACCTAAATTGTATAATCTTACTTTAGAAAATATACGTTTATTTCACCATATGGTCTTATTTTTCATCAATTCCTAAATAGTTCACAATCATATGAGACATTTATTGTGAGCTCCTCGTAGCAATGATGAAGTCAGATCATGATCATATATTTTTTGATTGAACCTTGTGCAGAGGTGCACAAAAGCTCTCAGCCGACACACTCCTGCCCTGCCACAAGCCATCAAAAAATAAAATCATCCAATACATCAAAGACGCCGACCGGGAGTGAATTTACTTGTGTTTACTTCTATACGGTGACTTTGAAAAAAGGGATACTTGAGATAAGGGAAATTGTGTCCCTTCAATGATGTTAGAGATTTTTTATTTGACTAATTTCTTCATTGCCATTAGTGGTTTTACAATTCAGTTATATAAATTGACAATCCAATTTGTGTGAAAAATTGTAAAAATTACTTAACATTTATGGAAAAATGAGTTTATAAAGACTTATAAGCATTAATCATCAAAGCAAAAATGGATTTAATGTTCTTATCCGGATGATAGTCCTGAAATACATTTCAATTAGTTGAAACAAGACTCTTTTGCTTTCTGAATTAAAACAAAATAAAGGGATTTTATTCTTAATTTACATTAATGACCTATTGCTGGTGATACCACAATTTTATGATATGCCCCTAACAACCATACGTTGTATGAAGTTATTGGGAGTGACATCACGAAAGTGAAAGACTGGTTGGACTCGAATCTCTTGAGCTTGAAATTATCAAAAACAAAAGTAGTGTTCTGTCGTTGCCAGATTCCAGCTTTACACCTAAATAATATTCAAATTGACAATGTAATAATTTCTAAATTCTTCGGCATATTCATTGACAATAATTTAAAATTCAACAAACATGTAGATAGTTTGAAATCCAAGCTCTCCTCTGGATATTATGCAATACGAGTAACTGCATTAGAGCTCGGATCTGCAGTAGCTAGAATGGTTTATCATTCCCTTCTTGAATCCCATCTTCGTTATGGTATTTGCTTTTAGGATGTGTGTTCTACCACATGTCTTCAATCAGTATTACTGATACAAAATCTTGCAATACGATGCGTATGTAGAGCCAAGCCAGGGAATCTTGTCAGCCTCTTTTCGCCTCTACAGAATCGTAGCTGTAGTCTCCTTATTTATATTTGAAACGATCTGCCTTGTCTTTAAAAATAGGAACTTGTTCAACAACAATGTATCAAACCAGGCAAAGATTCAGCTTCAAATTACCGTTGCCCTCTTGGACCCTAGTTGAAGATTCCAATATTTACAACAGTCTCAAAATGTTCAATCACCTTCCTCAATCTATAAAAACCATAAATAACCTTAGCGCTCTTAAGAAAGAGTTGAAAGACTTGCTTTCTGTTAGACCTTATTATAGCTTAGCAGAATTCTACGACGATAATTTTAATTGAGTATGACTAACTGCAATATCTACGGTATTTTATTGATTTGATTCAATTCAATCCAAATTGATTTATTTCATTTTATTAACCATGTTCTTATATCTTGAACGATTTTATTAGGTTATTGTTATTTACATGTCTCTTTTCAGTTCATGTTATCACTTACATTTTGTGATTTAATTTTTATTTTATTTATCACAAGGCTTTGTAAATGAGGATTTATTCTTCAGACAATAAAGTATAATTTGGATTTGAAAGTTTTTCCCCCCAAAAAACCAATCTCTCCTTAAAATACACCTTTTTCAATTTAAATGAAATTCCTATAGCTGGGATTAACTGACTGTGTGAACATAGACGTTACTTTCTCAAAAAACATACCTATTTGAAGAAAAAAATTAAAATCATATGTGGGAAAAATTGATTCACCCCCTAAAATCCTCAATTCACTCCCATTTTTAGAAAATTGTTTTTTTTTAATTTCGAAAAATGGGTATTGAAATTTGTTATTTTTATCAAAATCACTACATAGTATAAAATATAAAACAAAGTCGCTTTCCGCTATCTGTCTCTATGTATGCTCAGATCTCTAAAACTACGCAACGGATTTGGAATGAATATGATTCAAGGGGAAGGTCGATATGTATATAACATTCATAATATGGTAGAGAAACACTGATAATTTTAGAGGTTTCTAATGTGATGTGAAGAAACACATTTCTGGCACTTACATTGTAAACGCTGGCTGCACCCTCAAAAAGGTGTAAAAAAAAGTCGCGATGGTATATGTCTATCTCTTAGGGATAACCCATAATAACACAAATTTTTATCCTCGAGAAATAGTGGATTATTTACAAAGCAATTTTAAGCAATACAGTATTAATCCTTATCCGATCAAGTACAGCATGTAATTTAAATGTATATTTTCGAAGATACTACAGATTTAAAATGCAGGAACATAGTGGTTGCGGCGGTAACTGCCGGGGCGGCGCGTGCCTTCAAATAGTGCGTCGAAGGCCGCGCTTTGCCCTATAGCACTTTATGATTAGCAGCGATCGCACGCGGTTTTATAGTGCCGCACAAATTTTAGGAAGGTGTCCCACTTGAAAGCGGGACACCTTCCTAAAATTTGCATCTTTTTCTCCGATTTCAAAGAACTTTTTTGAAATGAAGGGCTCAAAGAACTGTACTTTGAGACCAAATATCAGGATCAAGGCCTGCTGCGAATATAGGTTAAAATACAAGAAATCGTATTAGCGATTTTCTTAGGAAAAATTTAATATCTCCATTGGACTGGGCACCCTCTCAAATGATGGTATACCAAATTTCATTTAAAACAATTCATTATTAATTATTCTGCATTATTGCAATATTTTCGTATCAATCCTCATTCAAGTTTGCGAACGGCTTCTTTGAAATCGAAGAAAAAATGCATTTTCGGTTGGGTAACTGCCACACATACCTACAAAGTCATAGGTCTGCATGAGAGGAAAGGGGCAACCTTGAGCGTGTCATAATGCACCTCTCCGGAATATTATTCATTATTCCGACTCCTTCCTCGGAGTAAGCTTGTGGAGTTGTTTCCTCGCTCTGGCTGCAGGTGGCGCAGTGGACATCCCACTGAATCAACTGCAGAGAGATTCCATGACTAGCTGGAATTATATTTGTTTGGTCGTGATACTCAGAAGGTTCGCACTGTTCTGAAGAGACCATGCACTGTACTGATGATGGGGCAATCACCCCGAAACCGGTCTATCGGTTGGTCGGATCGACAAAACGAAATTAATTTCTGCTTTTCATAGTGGGAACTAACTTGCGACGAATCTTCCCAAATCGAAGAAGTTGCACAGGTGTCTGATGGTTCTATTTCAAATCTCTACGCGACATTAGCTGAGTTAGTTGTTGTTTTTTCCGTTGGGTATCTGCCACACGTACCTACAAAGTCGTAGGTCTGTATGAAAGGAAAGGGGCAACCTTGAGCATGTCATATATATAGGAACTGGAACAAACCAAAGGGTGATTGAATATATACATATAATTTGAATATTCAAAAAAGCCACTTAACTATACTAAATCTAGATATTTTTTAGAAGAATACAAAAAATATCAACAGTCAAAACTGTGTCACAAATAGTCGGTTAAATGCGTGCACTCAGGATTGAAGTTGTTCCAGTAGCAACAATAACTTCTGGACCCTGCCCTGGGTCGCGCTGAGGACTCTGAAATTAAGAAAAAAAGTTATTCAAGCCAAATAGCAATTGATTTTTAATCAATACGTAATCATGAAAAAAATTACTACAGAGAATAACCTCAAAAAATAACTTTCCTGGTTTTCTGATTCTCTATCAGTATATTGATATTATTGATATATTTTCATCAAAGAAAAATGTTTTGTTTATCGGTAACTTATTGTACTTAATAATTTTGCCTATCAAAAAAAGAGCTTAAAATATTATAGGGTATTTTTTAATTTCAAAAAACTCATGATTTGCCGTTCCTGGTACAGGGTATTCTCTTATATCATTATGTTTCCATTTCTTCACATTCTACGACTCTCTTCAAGATGGGGTGCCAAATACAATTATGTATCTTGTCAAAAAAGTAGCATTGGTAACTAAAAGACTAGTCAATTGTGGCAGGTATTTCACTTGAAGGTTGTTTGTTTGTATTTGAAAATGTATATTCATATATAAAAAGTGACCTGTTTCAGGATTTTTTATTTGCATTCATAATTACGTAAAAAACGAATTTATGTTATTCTAGATCCTCACTGTATAATCAATCAACAACTTTGTCATACATCATATTTCAAAATTTCCTTGATATCTGTCTGAAAAATATAAAAACAGAGCGAGAAAACTGAGAAATTGCTGATTTTAAATTCTGAATACGGGGCCAGATTGTGGTCTCTGAAATGTCAAGATAAAAACCCTATAAAATTCATCGTATTTTTTTGATAGGCGAAATTGTCAAATACAAGAAAATCTTTCTTTAAGATAAATATATTGATTTTACGCAGTAAATAATCAGATAGAATTATTAGGTTATTTCAAAGGTTTTGTCTGTTTTTCTGAGTCTACTTTAAACTGTAATATCTCAGTGAATCCTTATTCAATTTAATCGAAGTGAGCACTTTTTGAATCAGTGCACTTTTGCCAGCGTAACACAAGTCGATCAAGTCCATCAGCATAAAAACTATACTATACTTTTTCTGGGTGCGTTTTGTTGGCACTATCTTATTTCAGATTGGGGCATTCCTGCCAAAAGTTATTCACTCCCTCCACTCAATCAAAATAAATCAGGCAGGGACAGGAATAAATTTTGCCCAGAGATAATCAATCTGGATGCCAAGAAAACCCAACTTTTGACAGACTGACCAATCAACAGACCATACCATTGTTTATCAAGCAGTCTTGAATTCCCATAATTGTTTTCTTTTGATCATGAGAATGAATTTAGTTTCAGTTAATTACTTTGGTGGTGTACATCCAATTTATGTAAACCCAACCAAGACAACCCATTATTTACTGGAGCTGATTATGAAAATTTTTGGTGCTGATCATCACTCTACATACTTCCTAGATTAATTTAAGGTTTAGAAATACCTTCACTTGTATCTTATTCTTCAAGACAGCTGCTCTTAATATCAGCATCCTCGTCCTTCTCTGATACTCCTGCCCCATGAGTAAACTTTTCTCAAATGTAGTGCTGCGTTGATCCACATCTTTAGCGAAAATGATTTTATTATGAGAATCTATCCTAGCTTGGATCTGACCATCCAGAATAAGTTGCATCAGCTCGTCTTCGAGAGCGGAAACGGATCTATTAAAGGCAGAAGCCATTTTGTGCATATCTGCAGACAAGTATGGACTGAAGTACTGAATCAATGCCCTATTTCGAATTTGAGTATACAAAGTGTTAACATGTGGTGCTATATACATATCCAGCAACAAATTGTCTTTAGTTTCATCAAGTAATTTCAAACAAGATGCATACTTTGACTCATAGAATTTGAAGATGATATCACGTAGCTGAGGCTCTAATTCTAAAAATAGCTTGAAAGAACTACTAAAAATTACATTTTTTTGGAGTTCATGTCTGTCATAGGTGGCTAAAGCACAGAGACCCCCATACATTGCTACATTATTTGCAGACAGCAACTCAGGAAAATCACAATGATCAATATTGGCCTGCAGGAAGTGTTTAGCTGCCGATTTATATTTCCTAGAAGCTAACTCGGCCAATCCAGTGGCACATTTCAATTTAGTGACAATAACTTGATTAGAATCTTTCGTGTGGGTTTCTGAGAAATCCGGTGTACTCTCAGCTTTTGAAACATAGCTCAAAACATGTGACCAATTCTGTAAATACACTGACACTTTTATCACATTTAGGCACATGTTTACAACATGTTTACCACTTGTACAATAATCTCTTGCTCTAGAGTAACATTTCAATGCATTGGACAAATCACCACAATCTAAATAATGATCTCCAAGATCGTCATGACCCCTACGAATACTTTCTTTAATTGAGTTGGTTTTATAATTTTTCAAATCGTTGTCCAACTTTTCCAGCTTCAAAGCGGCCTTCTTGGACCTACTCTCCATCCACAAGTTGTCAACTGCAGGTATATCCTGTGAAGTTGCTGAAGCAGCTACATCTGGAACACTCAATGCTGTAGTTACTTCTGCTAATTTTTGGTGCAGGACTTGATACAAATTTACATTGTATGTAGTCATTACATATGATATAGCCATTTTCAGGGCTTCAAGTTTGAGCGCGGGGCAATGATCAATGACATAAATGAGGCGATACAACTTTGCAAGACCTATATAGTTATTTGCATACACCTCTAGGTCCAGAGTTGGGTTTTCTACAATATAACTATCTTCTTCATTGTTATCGTTATCTTCAGGAGGAGCATCCACTTGCATAGGTTCGATGGCATTCTGTAAAAAGCAGATTTATTACATATTTAATCTCTGAAATGACATGATACCTCACCTGAGCCATAAGGACAAAATTAAAGCAGCGGCTTCAAACTTGAAAACAAAGTAATACAATTTTAATATTTAATTTACGAGACTTTTTAACGAAACTAAGCAAATTTTTCAACTACAAGTAGAAATACAAAATTAGAATATATAATTGTTACAGTGTTGCCAAAAGTTTTCATCCATCTCTCCCATTTCCCAAAGTGACATTTTGCAACTTATAAACAATCAGAGCCGGTCTCATGAAAAAGGGGAAAATTTTGAATGTAATTAATAGGTATATCAAAATTCAATTACAGAAAAAAACAATTAATTTGTAATGAATAGTTTTCATCATTTAATAACAAGATTCAATCTACAAAACTCATCAGTAATTGAAGCATTGGGTATATTAATTTTTCATTTCGGTTATAAAGTGATGGTAATTCAATATTTTCATTAATAAGTATTTCGGGTCAGTTGAAGTTAATATAGTAAAATTCGAAACCTCTGACGGAAGTACCAAACTCTTACGAAGCAGACCACTATTATCTTCATGAAGTCATTGTTCATTGTGGTTCTGACGTTGAATCTGGTCATTATTACGCATTGGTCAAAGACGATACGGACTGGTTTAAGTTTCACGATAGTCATGCCACTTAAGTGTTCTGGCGATGTCTTGAATTTATTGGATACACCCTACATTTTGTTTTATGGAAGAGAGGACATTGGCAGATCAAGATCTTCAGATGACGCGGTGCTGCAGGATTTTCCGGGTATTCCTGCAGCTGAAAAAGCAAATGCGCCACTGGAATCAAAGAAGTCGCCCCGGAGCGCTAATTAATTTTCGTTGTTGTTTCATAATTTCACGATTTGTATTAGATAATTTCTTCTTGACATTCAATAATATTTCATAGGGATTCGTACCAAATGATTGATGGAAAGTTATATGTAAATTTATAATATCAATTGGTTTGAGTTTGGTAGATCACATAAATAATTTTCATTCTGATTATATGTTTATGAAATTGTTTTAATTAGTTGGATATGTTCGATAATAGTTGAACTAAATTTTTCATGACTCCATTGTTCTGGGGATGATTTGGGGAACAAAAGTACGACTTTGAGTTTATGAACTCCCTAAAGTTCAGTGACTATGGAATTTTGAAATTCGGTTTCGTTATCTAAAATAATTTGTTTGTATATGCCATAGTGAGAAAAGAGAAACTGTTTGAGTTTGTACCTGTTACCACATTCATGGTGTAATGAGATTAATCGTATTTCTAAAAACTATCTATAATTGTAAAAAAAAATATTATTATTTTCTTACAGGATTTCTGGCATATTTGCACTGTTGACTCAGTTCAAGTTCATTCATAAAACTTTAAATATAACTTTTCATATTTGGCTAATAATAATTTTCTTTGATTCTTCGTACGATTTGGTCTATACCACGGTGGTTAGATTTCATAATAATTTCTAATTGTTTTGTCAATATCATCTTTTCTCGTAATATCTATAGATTTTTTGAACTTTATTATTGAGGTATTTTTGAAAAAAGTTTGTAAGATAACCGAACATGGTTTATATAAATACTTCAGGTCTTTCAAACGTCAAGTTGTACTTTATGTCAGAACTAACATATTCCCTAATAAAATCGATTATTTTTTTATCAATTTTTTTTGGAAGACTGTACTAGTTTACGTTTTATTTTTTCGAATGAAATGATTATTTTGGTTTTTGCGAGTGAATGTGAAACCGAAGTAATGAAAATTTTATTCTGGCCATAATTCACATCAGTGTACTCTGCAATTGGAATGTTTATGATTGGTCAACGTTAAAATGAATGGTTCGAGCCTTATAAAGTAAAAATAATTTTGTCTATTCAGACAATAAGTTTTAAATTATGCAGAAATTACTATTATTTTATTCGGATGTAAATACAGTATTATAAAAGTACTTGTCAGAAATTCCAAAATGGCCAAATAACTTCGTTGTGATAAGCGATTTGTTATTTTTGATACCTTCTTATATACAATAATCATAAAGTCAATTGTTACTGCTTCCGGTTCAATCGATAATGTCTTCGTTTTCGACTGAAAATGTCATTCGAAAACAAAAATAACCAATGAGTTTCATAGTCAGAGCAGTTTTTGAAGAAAAAAAATCATCACACCGTCTTGCTAAAACAAAGTAATTTACAAGAGAGAACAAAATCCGGGCTGTAGGCCCTGGTCGAATGGAATTTTTAGTAACAAACACTTCGTTTGCTACTCTGCAACAGTGGTATATGCGTTGACTGGAAAGTAGTATCTCAAAGTCACAGCAACGACTGACAGTAAGTCGTTCATTAGATCGTAGGCTTAGGTACTTGAAGGTGATAGAGCACTTCACTGTTCGTAGAAAGGATCGACAAACTGTTTGATTTACATAATTCATCTAGACACCCGGTATAACACATTTGATTTCAATTCAGATTTCCTTTCTCCGGGCAGTTAATTTCCAATGATTTCACGTAAGTAAATTTTACATCACAGAAGTGGAATTATTCGGTTTCACTCAAATATATCTATCAGGAAACTAGTATAATTACTTGATTATATTAGCCCAGAAGAGTTTTGAATAGTAAAGCGGTTCAAAAATAATACGATGATCAGAATTTAACTAGTCATAGTGGAAACTTGACCATCGTAATCTCGGCTAATACCACGCTGGATATTTAATTATATCCAACAGACATTTACGCAAGATACCTCAAAGAGGTTAGTCTCACAGATATTTCTGATTCATCCAGTAGCAGGACCATGCTGAAATCATTCGAGTAGATCACCTGCAGACAACGGTTTCGAGATATTACCTCTCCTCAGTACAGGAAAGATCATACCCAGACAGCAAAGTGCCTAGGACTCGATTAATTTCGACACGGCTCCACTACATATATGAAACCTTCGTCTTAGAGAAAGATTGTTAACTAGTAACAGTATGAAAGACGCCATCTTGTTAACTAGTAAAGTATAAAGACGCCATCTTGAAAAGCAGATTACTCAGGGCCCGACTTGCGACATGGTGTCTATAACAGAGGCGTACTGGAAATTTTATCTTGTCATAATTCATGAAATTGAACTTGTTTTCAAATGACTTAATCTAATAAAGTAAGGTTCGTCTTTTGATTGTTGCTATTTTATTCACCATAATGAATAATATATTGATACGATACTATTTGTAATTCTTTCAAATAATATAAGAAGTAGTAGCTAAGGGTTTTCAGAATTAGATTTGACTGGCACAAAATGTGAGAATGACTCTACGAAAAACATCATCTCGTTTGGTTTGTTGCAACCCACGCAGAAAATTTCCTCTTTTCATACATTATGAGCCGTAGATGTGACTGGAACCTTTGGTAATGAAGAAGAAACATTCGAATGGAGCCCAATTTCTTAAACTCCAAATATGTTTGTACTTGTTGCACGTTTTCACTATCCAAGTTAGCATCTTCAGAAGTGAAATTGCTATTAAACATTAATTAATAAGATGCTAATTCGGTTACTGAAACGTGCATCGAGTACAAGTATGGTGTATGGAAAATTGAGCTCTAATTGAAAGGTTTCATTAAGGGGCGATTATAGTCTGGTACGATCCTCAACTAGGGATTATATTATTTTTGTCAGCATATCTCATTTGTTGAATATCACCATCCAATTGTTACAAAATTCTGCACCACTTCTATCAATAATAATAGCTTTGTTCCATAATACTTTACAGTGTGGAACAGGGTAGACATTGAAAAAAGTCAATAATAAAAATCAGAAACACAATAAAATGTTTTTTCTATCAAATATTGTTTGAATTTGTTCTTGAACTTGTATTTGGAGTCGTCTAAATTCCAAATATGATCAAATTCAGTTTGAAATTATGTATGAACTCGTTTGAATAGAAAAATTGATCAATCAGATTAAAAGAAACCATGCTCAACAAGCGACTCACAAACGTTAGTAACTGAAACTCTCAAATAAAAATGCAGGTGATTGTAAAAAATGTATTAGTGGTACCTACACACAAACATACATACATACATGCATGCTTGCATAGGGACTTTACATATGTACCTTGAATCGGTCAGATAACATTTATAAGATTACACATCATGTATGATTGTACTGTACAGAAAAGTATAGTGTAATTCTTAAATACATATATCCATTCAACCTTGGAAATCTGTATGTAATGTAGTAACCCAGACAAATTTGTTTTTGCAAACGACAGCTGTTCAGAGAGCTTCATCTAATAAAGAAGGTTTTTGTTTCCTATTTTCAATGATTTGGTGAAGTAGAAGTTGAACAGTTTCCTTCAAATAAAATAATAAGTTTTTGAAAGTTATATTAACTATCATATATTCTTAAGTATTATATAAATTGTTTTTTAAATTTCATGTCAACAATTTAATACCAAAATTGAACTTGACAGGTCCACTACTTTTCAACATGGCCGACATAGCGACGCGAAGTATATGCGCGTACTTTTCCCGCACAAGGGAGTGTCCGTGCTGATTGTTAGGTATGCTGTGATTTCGTGAACAAAGTCCCAAGCGGGAAAGAAACATCCGATGTTCCAAAACTCAAACAGAAATCAAAAGTGAAAGCTATTGAGGAGAGATACATACGTATAAGAAAATAAATATTTCTAAATTAAATTTTGAAATATTCATCTATCCCAACCCCCTATGACACAGTATGCTCTGTCGGAAAACATCCATGTCAACATCTGTGTGTACTTTAATTCAGTAAGAGACACTGTCTTGTTCGTAGGTAACTCATAACTAGCCAAAATGTTGCGTTTTTTATATCCCTTCTATTTAAAGATGATGGACTATAATTATTATTGGAGTTCAGGAAAAATTCGTCAAAGGTTTAGACGACGGTAACTAACTTAAAAAGATGCTGCATTTCCTCTCTGAATGAAGATACTGCTTTTTTGAATCAAGGACAAACTTGTTCTGGGATCATTAGTTTATTGGGTAATACAAAAACCAATTTCTATACCAATAAGATAAAAAATATAATTATCTTTCAACAAAAAATATTGTCTGCACTTTAACTTTTCTGTCTCTGCTGCTGCTGAACTAAAGGAACTAGAGGTTGATGATAGATGAGACGGGGCTAAAGTGTCAACACAGTTAAAATTCCAAACCATTAGTTTGCCTTGCTGCCATAGAATTATATAGTGACATATCGTCGGGGCATTTACCATCATCTCTCACGGTACCGACTGGTTCCAAAATGGTGAGGACTTTGGCTCTTTTCATTAAATTAATGACAACATAATGCCTCCAGACACTCATGCTGGACACACATACTGCATCCCAAATTAAAACCAACGGCTACCCTAAATGATTCGTTATCCAATAGTGTACCGAGGGATGCAACAGAAAGAACATTCAACCATGCACCAGAAAGTTTTAATAAAAAAATCTCTAAGACATGCCTTTTCCTTCGCAGTTGAAGCAGAGTCCAGTAGTGAAAATTTTGGATCAGAGGGGAAACATGAAGGGGCTTCGTAAAACGTATACGAGCTTTGGGATAGCCATACATAATGTTTGGAAATACGAAAAGCTATATGGACAAAAATCTTCGAAAGGCGAGAGGTCATAGCGGAAAAAGTGTTCAAATTTTCTTTACAGCAAATCCTGGTGAGATATTCTTGAATTTCTTGAAGATGACAAAATCAAATTGAAAAATAAAGAAGAGTTCGCATTTCTGAAGGTTCTATTCAAGCCAAATCTCTTTAGATTTGAATGTGATCAGACAAAAGGCGTTAAGAACTTCATCTGCGTCCCCTCCAATTGAATCATCACCTGAGTAACATGCATTGAATGGAATTTAGAAGATCTCTAGTAGTTTAATAAAAAAGAACAAGAGAAAGAGGATCTTCTTGTTGTATTTTGTTTTCCGACATCATGATTTTATTACCAAAAAACAAGTATGAAGGTTTTCAATATCAATAATACATGAAAGGAAAAAATTCAGGCATGTTTTTTCAAATTTTCATTAACATTTAATTTATATGAACCAAATTGAAGGCGTTTTTGAAATCCACCTTCAGACATTTTTTTAGATTTATTAACATGTTGATTTATGAATCGCCTGGCTTCATAAGGTACTGCCTCACAACCTCCTGTAGTAACGAAACCGGACTGGAAAGGACAAAAAAACTCACCAGGTCGCACTTCAAGTTTCCAAGTTGCAACTTTCGCAAGACATCTTCAACATTCGCAAAGATGAACACAAACTAGCAGTGAAGGGAAAAGTCACTACGTCTTCTCTCTTCCAACACATACTTCAAACAGGACATAACATCAATTTCGATAACACAAAAATGCTAGCCAGCAACGAAAACTTTTACTCACGAACAATCAGAGAGGCTATCGAAAACGACCTAATAATATGAACAAGAGGGATGATGCGCAAAACATTTTATGACAAATTCTATCGCCACCACTAGTTAATTACCTTTCCAATTAATGGAACTTTCGAAGAAGTGATATTTTTGTCAAAGTTATGGCAGGATTCAATAAAAAGAGCATGTGCAACCAAAAACATGTCATCTCTTTTCATTTAGAGCATGCTCACTGATTCATTCCCGCTCGAAACAAAATGTGTCACTTTTTCGCTCTGGAGCAACTTTCAGCCTTCAGTTCGTATTTTGAGCACCTTGAAAAATCCCTACTCCCCAACACTGGTTTCGTGTTTGTGTAATAATTTATTTAGGTGGAGGTGAGCAAAAATTAAAAAAAGATTTTATTTTCAGGATTCATTCTCCTATTTAGTTGAATCTTTCAACAGAAAATCATTTTTCAAATGAAATTGTATTGTTGATGATATAACTTCTAAATATGGGTTATGATGGATATATTATGTAACAAAATCAATACTTTGATTTTCATCAATATTACTTGTGAAATATATTGGATTTTTTCAGAAACATGGCTTCAAAGTTGCAAAAAGCTCCGTTGCTTCGATTATTTATGGTAATATCGACTTTCCAGTTTCAGTCTCTTTTTAATTGTTTTCATTTTGCAGAGCAGAGGACTTTCTCAACTAGCACCAGTTTCCGGAAATCCAAATTATGAACTGAAAACAACTATTCTTTCAAATAAGCTGACTGTCGTATGCGCTGATAATGAATCAAGCTTGGTTCGAGTTTCTGTTATATTCAGGTCAGCATTCACAAATTGCATTTGAAAAATATCATATTCTTCAATGAATTATTTTTGTCTCATAGGGCAGGTAGCCGATATGAGTCCAGTGATAATTTAGGAGTCACACACGTATTGCGTACTGCAGCAGGGCTGTCAACAAAAAATGCTTCCCAGTTTGCCATTATTCGTAACATTCAGCAAGTTGGTGCTAACTTGACAGCTACATCTGATCGTGAAACTATTTCATATACTCTAGAAGGTACAAGACAAGCAGTTGAAAAAGTTCTCCCATTCCTTACTGAAGTCGCAACCCAGCAAATATTCAAACCCTGGGAGGTTTCAGATATCACTTCCAGGCTCCAATTAGATATTGCAACGAGATCTCTACCGGTACTGTATTGAAATTCTATCTATCGATCTTTGCATCTTTACAATTTTGTTTTAGTTGAGAGCAATTGATCTACTCCACAATGCTGCATTTCGTACTGGTTTGGGCAATTCAATGTTCATCCCTAAATCACAGATTGGAAAAATATCCAGTGAGACCCTGCAGCACTATGTTGCCAGCAATTTTCTATCCGGGCGTGCCGCTGTAATTGGATTTGGTATCGATCAGTCTGAACTCATTCATTATGCACAAACTTTAAACATTGAGTCTGGGGAGGGATGTAATAATTCCTCTAGTTATAAAGGTGGTGAATTGAGGTGAGTGTTTTTTTAAAAGCAAAACTATGTTCTCAAAACTTGATTTTTGCATGACCCTAGCATATGAAAACCATTATTTTGTTGATGTGGGAGGCCACTGAGTGAAATGTGACAATTTGGTATTGATGGATAAGATTCTTTCTTTTCTTATTTGTACCAGATTCTTTCAAAATTAGGTTATACATACTAGAGCCAAGAATTTGACATTAGAAACATTCACTTAGACTACCTAAACCCATACTGAAGTTTACTGTTGAAGAAATATACAAAATTAATCAATAAATAAAAAGTTGAAATATTTTTAAAAAATATTTCATTGATTCGTAAAACAATAAAATTTCAAAGACATTATTGGCTTTTAAATAACACTTTCTGAAAATTTCATTCAACATTCACAATTGGAAAAAAAAAACATCATTTTCAAAATCTTGGGTAACTTAATGGCATATTTGCATATTTCTAGAAAAAATTTAAATTTATTTTCCAAACACTCCTGATACTTTGTTTTCTGTTGTAATTTGCTTTTTTGTTGAAATGCCAGTGCAGCCTTTACATTTGATGTTGATACTTTNTAACCACATGATTTTAATTTATTTTATCCTAATTGTTGTAATAAACTTGAAAGTGATAACATTTTTGAATAGAGAATGAAGAGACCTTTCAAACGATATATCACAAGCTTATATTTCCCATTTAAAAAATTGGGGGTTGTACCTGTCATTCGACGGGGGTTGAAGGTAGGGATATAGCATTTTTCCGTTGAAGTATGTCAAATTATAATTTAAATTTGACGTGTTTCGGGAATTTGTTAAAATATGTACCGTAACCGAAATAATTAATTCATTCCATTTGGCTTTACCACATTGTATAGTGTTCCTAAAAAGACAGTTTGAAATAACTGTTGACGACTCATACATCTCTGGAATTTATTTTTCAGATCAAACAAAGGTGGAGATGTAGCTTTTGTCACTGTAGCAGGAGAAGGCGCCTCTTTGAAAGACCCCAAGGAAGCTCTAGCTTTTGCAATTCTTCAAAAAGCAATTGGTGTTGGACCTCAAGTGAAGTGGGGTAATAATAATGGAATTTTTAGCAGAGTTGTAGGTATTGGAGAGCATACATCATCTGCTATCAATGTCAGCTACTCCGATACAGGACTTTTTGGTATTTTAATTGGAACTCCTGCAAAATCTGCAGGAAAATTAGTGGAATCTGCTGTCAAGTTATTGAGAAGTGGGAGTGTTTCCGACGAGGATGTCAATAGAGGTACCTTAAAAGAGAAGCTACTTGAAAAATAATTTTTCTCAAATTATAATTATTTGTTTATTTCTCAGGGAAGAAACAGCTAAAGTCTTCACTTCTTTTGGAAGCTGAAAGTGGAGCAGATGCTGTAAGAGATATTGCTTCACAATCTGTTTTGACTGGTAATCCTCAAACTGCCAGCCAGATAGTTGCAGCGGTGGATTCTATTTGTACAAGTGATGTTCGAGATGTAAGTATTTCTATTTTTTTCACCCACAAACACAGTGCAGAAAACCCTGAAACTGGCTTCTTTCCTATTTTGTTTATTATGATGATTATTGAAATTGGCATCCTAAAATACAAATGTCCAGACATTCGGTATGGAATCAAATCAGATATCATTCACAGGATTTCTTTGGAGGATTCCCAAAGTTTTTTTGTATCAAGATGGAGTAGTAGAAAGCCAAAAACTTTCCCAAATAAAAATAGTATTTCACCCCAAGACATAACATTTAGACTACAATTTAGGATACATAAAATGATTAAAACTGGTAATATTCATAATAAAAAGGTTCACGTAGGTTCGTGTTTGGATAAATATTTACATATTTCCTGTACTACCTTTGCTACTTTACAGAGTCTTTAGAGACTCAAAAACACAAGTTAATGAATCATTAGAGTTGAAACAAAATTCCTTGCTTGGGGATGGTCACAGCAGCAAGTTGCAACCATTGAAAGTGCTGCAGAATAGAACATCAACAAGATAATTGAACTCACTGCTTGTTATTCCATAAATGAATTTATTTCAAAAATGAGTTCTAGAAGTAGGAGAAAGACAAATTTAGTAACTGTTGTAGATAAGTGATAACAGTTGAAATTAATATTAATACTTATATGACTATCAGATGGATAAGGTTTCTTTTTCATAAAAGTTTTCTTTTAAATCCTCGATCTAGACTCTTCTTGGATTTCTTCAGTAACTTCTCCAGCGTCCGTACTAAAAGCGTTACGAATCAGTTTTTGATCAACTTCAGCTTCTTCCGTATATTCTGGAAAGTAACGATTGAATTCATCAATCAACATTTGTAAATGAGTCTTGATGTTTTCTTGTATATTTGCTTTAATATCGTCATACTTTGTGTCTGCCGCAAGTGCTTTTAACGTCGCACACGCAGAATAATTATTTTCTTCAATTCTACGTAACAACAAATGATGTTTGCAAATAAAAGCGCGTACTTTATCTTCAAAAATGAATATATTGGCGACGTTTTCTAAATGTTTATTTCCGGAACAGTGTATATTTAATTTATTTAAGTGTGTGAAAATATCCACAAGATAAGCCAAATTCATTTGATATGCCGGATTAATAAATTGTTTTAACAAATCATTCATTTTATTGTCTACCAGAAAAATCTCAACCTCTGCTCTCAGTTCATATAATCTTCCCAACATATTACCTTTCGATAGCCATCAAACTTCAGTGTGAAAGAGAAGTGCCTCATGATCAGAGTCCATTTCAGTGCAATTTTTTTTAAAAAGGTGTGTATTTAGGGCGCTGCTTTTGGTAGCATTTATAACTTTTATGGCCATTTTCAGTGTATCATTAAGGCATTCAGGAAGAGTCTTAGAAGCTAACACCTGGCGATGTATGATACAGTGAGTTGTTATTACCTTATGATTTTTCTGTTTTACTAACGTCGCCAGACCGGAACGTGATCCCAATATTGCTGGAGCACCATCAGTACAGAGGGCAACGATTTTATTCCACATAAGATTATGTTTCTCAAAATATCCCGATATTGAGTTCATGACGTCAAAACCTTTCGATGTTGTTTCCAGTTCCCGTGAAATCAATAATTCTTCTTTAATTATGTTGTCGTCCAAAAGGCGAACAAATACAAGTAGTTGACAACAATCTGAAATGTCGATAGATTTATCACACTGCAAGGCGAAACATGGCGACTTTTTTATTCTTGAAACAAGTTACTCCTCGATATCATTTGACATAAGTTCAATTCAAGCTTTGACCGTGTTATTGGACAGAGATATATCTTGTAATTTTTTCTTGGCCTCTAATCCCAAAACTTCTTCGGCGGCTTTGATCAAACACGGAATGTTTCTCCGAGTGTGTGAGGTTTTTTAGATTGTGCAATTAATTTAGAAATCTCAAACGACGCTACTAATCATTTTTTCCATGTTGCAAATCTCGTACCACTAGATCCGAGTTTTATTTTTTTAAAGTTCTCTAATTTTCTTTTAAAGAATTCTAGCGGACGGTCAGACAAATTTGGATGTAAATTTAGCGGGCTCACCGCCGGTAAATTTAAAATCATTCGCGGACCATATTTTGACTTCTGTGTGAAACACTGGTGGTCCACGGACCACTGGTTGGGAACCTTTTCTACCTATGCCTACTTTCTAATGAATTAATCTACCTTTTCAGGTAGGCATACAAGTGGGTAATATGTTAGAGTAACATTTAATTTAAGCTTGCGGAAGCNCCTTCATTTCATAGCTGGTAATCAAGAAGATGTTTTTTACAATTAATTTATTTTTTAGTTATAGCTGGACATGTTTCCTTAGTATGTTCATTTCATTGAATGTGTCATTGTTGCATCATCGGTTCCTACAAGATTTGTTCGAGCACCACCAAAGAGTTATAACTCTTAAAAATTAGTATAGCAACCATCTGATTTTCTATTGAACTTTTTCATTTGATATCCATATCCATACGAAAGGACATAGTCCACCAATAACAATTCTTTCATTTGATACCCATATCATATAGTGCATAAAAAATTAGTCACAATGAATTTAGAATGAGTCATGTTATTGTTTTTGTTATTTTCAGCAATCCTTTCATTTGCTGCCTTTATCATGATTGTGAATAAAACAATTTAGTCCGCCATCTTGGTCGGTTCTCCATAATATTTATAGTGACGTCATGTTATTGTTTGTATTCTTTTCAGCAGACCCTTTCATTTGATATCCATATCATGGAGGTGCATAAAAAAACTAGTCCAACATCTTAATGGGACCTTCATATTGGATTTAGAGTTACATATTATTTTTCATATTTTCAGCAAATTCTTTCATTTTATACCCATATCACGGGGGTGCATAAAAAATCAGACATATTGATCTTCATTTCATTTACTTAGTATGAAGTATATCTGATTGAATTAACTGTTTTTTCAGGCCCTCAGAAATGCTGGACGAAAAATAACTTTGGCCTCAATTGGGAACCTTAGTAATGTTCCCTATCTGGACGAATTGAAATAATCAGATATCTTTTAAATTATTTTTCAGTCTTTGTTTAAAATTTGTGAAAAAATAGTATTGATATATCATCTGCATGATTTGCTCTTGTATAGAATAAAGTTGAGTTGATTCCAAGCAATGTTTTAATTATTGTTCAATTTAGGGTAGTACAGTGGAAACAAAATCATTTCCTATTATAGGAAAATTTAATTTTCCTACTTAACCCTAATATATTAGAGATGTTTAGACTTTGAGTGAAGGTATTTACCATTATTCATGAGAGCGCAGCAATTGAAAGAGTTATTCTTGGTTTAGTTGAGCATCTTTGTTAAATTCAGGACATGTATAATGACCATTGTTACTGAGCGAAAATTTGAAGGTTTCAAGAACTTTGCTAAGTGAATGATAGTCTGTCTCAATGAGTGAACTCGTTGAGAAATCGGAGGCCGTTACAAGATAGCGTTCGACGAGCGGAAAACAATATTGTTTTCCGGTTATTTTGTTGACAATAGTTCGTTTCAAGACACAGTGGGTGAGCAGAACCTACAGGCTGACCTGGAATCCTTCTGGACCTTCTGGTCAGAGGAGTAAAGCTGAAGGGACAAGGATTCTATGAGTTCAAATTACTTAACACATTGCGTGCCACGTCATACATATATGAAAGACAGCAACACTTCTGCAGGGGTTTCGTCGGTCATATTTGGAAGACAGACATCTTTCACTTCCTGACAGTGTATATCAAAACTGAAAGACGCTGCCGTGCATTTCAAATAGGGAATCTTCTGCGTGGCCTCTGGGGAAAGTATTGTGAACCTTGGTTTGAGGAAAATTGGAATTATGAAGATTTGGTAGTACATTATATACAGTGACTCAGATTAACCATCATAAGTAAAGAAAA